CCCCGCGACTATCACGGGTCCCCTTATTTGTGTGTGTGTGTGTGTATATATATCCCGCCCTACCCTATGCCGTAGAACCCCACAGAAAAATGAAACAGTGTGGGGAGAGGGAGTTGCAGGAGAAAAAGGAGGGAAAGGGCTATTCAGGCTTCCCCAGCATTGCTTCTCTACTTCAAATCACATCCTCCACATTAACGTTTCTGTAATTTTGGGGTTTTCTTGCATGCACTGAACTGTAGTGTTTAGGCCTGCTGTTAGTAGATTTTCTGTGAAACGGGATTTTATTTGAACACTAGACACATCGAGATGGGAGCAACAGGGAATCACACTTAAGTCCCATTACAATCACTTAGTGTTGTTGCTTAATTTTCTCTAGGTATTCTACTGCCTGCTGACCAGATGAGACATAAAGCTTCTGCGTCAGTATTTACTGTTCTTGGATTTTAAGTATTAGGCAGAACATGGAAGAGAGTGTACAGATTTCTCATGAAATTCAGCCATCTGTCTTGTCTAAAGCTGTGCTCACACCATACCATTTCTGGGGAATTCCTTCCTCACCCCAGCACCTTCTGCTGATTTTCTTTGCAGGTGTGATGTTTAGATCTGCAAAGAGCAGAAGCAGAATATTCATGAGTAAGTACCTAGTCGAGTCTGTCTATTCATGAGATGATTTGCTGGCAGGAGACTCCATCCAACCAACTGAAACTGAGCCTCCCCCAGCCAGCAGATTTGCAAGGGCGGCAACAGATTTGCCAACTAGGGAAGGCTCAGTTTCAAGCAGAAGGCTGGAACCTTCTCAGGCCAGGAGATCTGATATTCCACATGATGTCAGCAGTACAGAGTATCACAGAATGTCGTAGAGGAAGTTTGTGCTGCCTTGAAGAGAAATCATAACTAGTTCGTAAATGGAACAAAGATCAGTAATTCCATGATATGGTGCAGATAGCATCAGGTTTTACTGGGGTGTGTCCTCAGGAACCAGCTAGGGTGAACACACCGACAGGTTTGCAGGCTAATTTTACTGGACTTCCATGGAAGGGTCTCTTTTTTCCAGCTCAAATTGTACCGTACGTGTGGCCAGCAAGTCATTTAAATATAGGGAGGAGCCATGTCTCAGTGGCAGATTGCGTTCCTTGCATGCCGGAGGTCTTGGGTTCTCTGGCATCTCCAGTTAAACAGTCTCAGGTAGCAACAACTGGGAGGACCTTTTCATTGCCTGCGCCCCAGAGAGCTGCTCCCAGCCAGCGTGTACCGGCTTCCATATGAAGGCCGTGATAACTTTCCACATATGTCATTTTCGAAAGAGTTTGTAAATAGCTTTTTAATGCTGGTATGTTTGTGCAAAAGGCAAACTTGCAGTTTTAAAGGTGCAGATATCAGGCTTTTAAATTAAGTGATGTCTCTATAGATAACTGGATTTACAGTTACGTGACAATCTTCCTGAATGTTTTGTGCCTCCTGTGAAATGTATCTTCTTAGTCCTTCCCCCACATTTGTTCCATGGAGTTGTGCACACTGCCGAACGTCTTTTTCACATTTTAACCTTTCTCTCTTTATATCGAAGCATGTGTGTGTGAGGGAAGCCTTGCCAATCCCACTGATCCTTGGCAAACTTGATCCACCCACTCCTTTTCCTCCTGTCACCATTGTTCCCATGTGAGGTGCTCTCCTCTCTCCAGCTCTGTGGGCTTGCCCTGAGCCACCCTCCTGGCCCCTCTGGCAGATCTCTCAAGGCCTCAGAATGGGAAGAGAAGGGGGCTGCTTCCCTTGATTCCTTCTCTGTCCCAGGGCAGCAGCTCTTCTCAGGCCCAGAGCTGAGCCCTTCCTTGGCCTTGGCCTCTTACAGTGGCCCTTTTTAAAAGAAGCTCTCTAGCCCCACACCCTTCTAGCATCACCCACTAATCCCCACCTCCCTGCCCATTATCAGGCCTACTCCCGGGGAATGGGGATTTCTCTCTTCTCCTTTCCCCCTGTGTTATGTATTGACTTGAATGTAAATACTGACATGCGAATCGCCTCATTGAAACTTAATGTTAAGCTTCAGCCTGGGCTAGGATCCTAATGTAACCAATAGGAGTCCTAGCCCAGGGAGTGTCTACCAATCACGTTACAAAGCGGGACCGCTTGTGATTGGGCATTGTATCTTCAATCTCATAGGTTGTTATCTGTACAGGGGGTGTGGCTACATTAGCCGGGAGTGTTTAAATATAGACAAGCCAGTGTATGTTCTGGTCCTGATCTGTGATGGGTTCTGGCTGGCGATTGTTGTACCGCAACGGAGAAGTAACTGAGCTGAAGAATAAACCGCAATTCTTGCTGAATCACTCTCCGACTCTTTGTTAAGCGCACGACTTAACAATTGGCGACGAGGATGGGATTCTAGTGCGGGTAGGCAGCCCCGCTAGACCGGACCCCATGTCGGACAACGAGGAGATCGCCGAGGCCGGCCAGCCACAGGCTCCACCTGCTCTGGTGGCTCCGCCTGTGCGCATAACGATGGCCGCGAGCAGCCAGAAGTTCGAATGCTTCGACCCAACTACTGAAGACTGGGACTCCTACCTCACAAGGTTTGAGTTTCATCTGGAGGCGAATGACATCACGACGGAGGAGAAGAAGAGGGCGACTCTACTCAGCTCGTGTGGAAAGAGCGTTTTTGACATCGCCCGGTCACTGGTGGCACCAGATGACCTCAAATCCGTATCCTTTAAAAATGTGACAGACAAGCTGAAATCACATTTTTCTCCACAGCCGTCGGAAATCGCCTGCAGGCACGCTTTTTACAAGCGGGGTCAGAATGCGAACGAGTCCATAGCTGAGTACGTTGCAGCTCTTCGCAAGGCAGCGCGGCCTTGCAACTTCACGAATGTGGAGGAGGCCCTCCGAGATCGCCTCGTCTGTGGTCTGAGAGACGAGAGACTGCAGCAACGCCTGTTCGCAAGAACTACCTTAACGTGGGCCATCGCCTATGCCGAGGCTGTCGCCGCGGAAGCTGCT